TCAAGAAGACTTACATTAGTTCAATGTGCTTGAGTTTGTTAGTCACAGGCACTTTCTAGGAGCATCATAAGCAGGAATAAATGACTTGTGTACACATAACAGTCTAAATCAAGTGATCCAGATATGATTATGTAGGAATAAGGTTATTTGGCATCACTACTCTACATACAAAAGCAGACTTAGCATAATCAAAGCACTGGTGGGTTTTGCTAAGACAAAATGGTGACTAAATATATTTATCATAGTTTTATTGCCAAGCTATTTACATAATGATATCATTAATATAATAACAGCTATAGTCTTTGTACATATGAGCTATCAATAAATACAGAATAATCCTAATGGCTCCTTCAGCATGATCTGCACAGACCAGGGAAGCTTCTCACTAAACCTGAAATAAAAGTAAACAAATATACAATAGGATTTAAAAGTGTTATCTGTCTGTATACCCAACCTTTATATCACTTTGCACACACAAACAAACAGTAAATCATAGTTACAGAATTTCATTATTAAATCAAATAAAGTTAATCTTAATAAATCATACCTCTGTTGTGAGAAGCGTCTTAGCTGTAGAGTCTTTTGAAGTTGATGGTGTTGGGGGTACTTCATAAATCACATCAGAAGTTCCAGTGAAGGGAAGGACAGTTGTAAGGGAAGGTGAAGTGGGTGCAGCTGGTGAGACAGGTGATGTAGAAGGGACTGGAGAGAGGGCAGAATCAACAGATATAGTAGTCACTGTTGAATTTGACCTTTCCACACGTCGATGTGACTGCGTGTCTTCATCTCCTCCTGAGTACATATCAGCAAGGATCCCACTCTCTGTGAATATGAATTGATAATTATTACCTCTACCAAGTGAAAATGTAGTTTTACATGAAACTTTTTCTTCATATCACTGACTTATCAATATCAAATAACAAGTAATGATGATATCGAAATCTACAAACTGGACTCCTTCTACATTTTTTTTCCTTCTTTTCCTACACCTGACTGCCCAAGAGCCTACTCACCTACTAATCTCACACTACTTCTAACCCCTTCTCTCAACTTTTCTTTTAAAGTCTTAAACATAACTAGCATCGAAAGCTATGCCTAAGTCCCTTTCCTTCCTAAAGAAAAAAGCACTATGCATCATGCTCTAAATAATTCAATTTACCTCTGATGGCATGTTTTTCTAACATACCTGCCCTTCTGTCTTCCTTTTAGTTTTCGGTTGTCTACTTCTTCATTTCTCGTTTCATCCTTATTGATACATATGTTCTTTTACTATTTTATAATTCTCCTCTGTTAAGATGGGGCAGCTTCCTTACTTCTATGAACAAGTAAATAAATTCTTATCTGCAAGGCTTTCTTCCTAAATCCCTATATTTCCATGAAATGTACAGAATATTATACTCTACAGCTATTCTCAATCTCATCTCTTCATATATACATTTAGAAAATTATTCTTAGTCATTCCTGCTCTCAAATTAATTTAAAAACTTAACTCTCTTCATTCTCAAGAAAGAAATAATTTGATCTTTAAAACTTTACTCCTACCTGACAATCTATACCTATCCAATCACAAAGATGTGTAACTAAATCTCTTCTCTTAGTTAAAACCTAATATATATAATCTTCACAACAATATATTGTCAGCATATCTTATGGCATCAGATTGCTTTTCAAATTAAAGTTTCATTCCATTACTTTTTGACTGAAAGAATCCTCATCCCTAGGTAAATGTTTGTAATTTTACAAACTAGTTCTGGGCATAATCAGTGTGATTTTTAGGAGTGCAATGAAAAAGCACCAAAATATACATACCTGCAGAGCACTGACTTGTCCGTGTCACGGAGCGATGCAAGGCTCTTGGTGAATCTCCAGGTTCAAACCCCAAGTTAAGGGTACCAACATGTGTGGGACAGACTGTAGATGAGTGAGTAGAAGAAGCAGAAGAAGCAGATGATGAGGCAGAGGAAGAGCTTACAGAAATTATTGAATGAGGTCTCTTTCCAACTCCATTCAATTCACCAATTGTTGATATGGACCCAGAACGAAGACGAGGTGCTGCAATAAAGGCAAGTATATTAGTGATTTTCTCCAAGGAATTTTGGATAATCACATGCTGGTGAGACTTGCTATGGAGCATATAAATAAAGGAGTTTTATCAGATGAATAAAACTGATCACTAAAATCCCTAACATACCTTTGTTCAGCTGGTTGATACTAATTGACCTGTCACTGATTTGGTCTTCACTGGGGCGGATATCCAAACAAGGCTTGTTTCCTATTCCCATGGATGACATTTCATGGAGCCTCATGGTTCTATTTCGCAGAGCTTGCCGCCATAGCAGCTTTGAAATCTCTTCAGTCCAAGCTTCCTTCATCTCAGCATTGTGTGCTTGCAGGAGATAAGTATCAGATGGTTTCCTTTTCCGGAACCAAATCTCAAACTTTGTTGTGCTGTCTCCAACTTGCTCTGTTAGGCCAATGTCTGTCATTTTCATACTGTACTTGTATTGGAAAATGTCAAGTGTCTGAAATAAGAAAAAATATTTAGACCTGATGAATCTCTGCAAATTTATCTCTAACGAATTTCATCATCATCAAACTTTTGCATTAAGGATGCTACCCTTAATTAGGATCAGCTTGGAAATTGTTTCAGATACAACAGAATCTTACCTTCTTTTCTGGGTCTCTTCTAGCTTTGCTGAAGAGTATCAAATCTTCAAATAAGAAGACATGCCTGATCGATTTCTTTGCTCTGCTTCCTTCCCATACCATGAATTCACCCTGTCTTAAAAGTCTACCCTGTTCCTTAAGGTTCACCTGCATGAAAGAAAAAGGTTTGATTAAGTTTTTAAATTGATTTAAAAGTTTTTAAATAAATTGCATATTATACATGAAAATTATCTGTGCAAAGTCTGCATAAAGGTAAATAAAAATACAAATAATACATACATCACAGTCTCTTAGGGAATCCATTGCAAGAAGGTCATTGCCGTGGCGCAGCTGGAATTGAACCATTTCCTGTGCGGATTGGAGGTCTTCATAATGCTCATCACCTCGAGCACACTCTTTCAGCAGCTGTAAGTAAATGCAAAATTCAGACCAGTGTATCAGTTACATGAGCAATAAGCAACTATGTATATAGATGCTTAAAATAGCTGAAACTGCATTTGGACAAAGATCAACTAATAAATTCAATTTTCTCCAGTAGTCACTTTTTGTTCTTATCTCCTTTTTTTATATTATTGCAAATCAATAATCATAAATAATAACAAGGTACAAATGTTAATTTAGTAGAACAGGCTACACATATTACAAACAGAGATTTCTATTATCTCCAGTGTCAATATTACTTGCAATGCAATGAGTCAAATTACTTGCAATGAATCTAAATAGAATTACATGCACTATACAGAAAATTCTCCAAATTCCCATTTATTTTCAAAATCTCTCACTAACCTGCTTAAGGATCAAAGCATATTTGCCCATTCTCTGGACAGGCTTCAGAAGATAAGATGCAAGATCCATCCGATCTTTCAACTCAAGCTGCATTGCTCGGAAGAATGATGAACCGTACTCTGACATCAGGGCATCTGACTTGGGTTTGTTTTTGTTGTACAGGGCATAGAGATAGAACTGACTCTCCTGAAATAATAATAGAGTTTAGAGATTTCACCAAAAAATTAACTGGATAAGAAACCATGAAATCTATATGATTCTGAAAGAATACATTTATTTTTTAATAAAAATCAATTAATCATACAATCTCCAATCTATTGAAAATGAGCAAACCTTTTTAAAACATTATCAAGTTCTTCAATCCTTTATCTATCCAAAAACATACAACCTCACAAATTACTTACATATCTCAAGAATATGGAGCCAACTGAAAAAGGCCGCATCTCACAGGCCTCTAGAGCACGGAGGAAATATCCGGAATGGAACTCGTAGATCTTCTCTATATTCCCAAATATGACATTGCGTTGTCCCCTAAGAGCTTGGGGAATGTCTTCTCTCATCAGTTCTGGGATATAATTCTGAAAGCAAGCAACACATTCATCAGCTTTTATGTTACAATGACTTTCATGAAATGTTTTGTATACTTCTTTTGAACCTATATGAACTATTTAACATCCTAATACTCATTTACAGAAGACATATTTATAAGGTACTTACCTCTATTATGTACTCAAGTGCATTAACATAATCTCTCTCTGTCTGGATAAGTTCCCTCATAATCAGCAATAGGGTTCTGCGAAAAGGTATGATAATATTACATACACATGCACAGGATTACGTGTTATTTTCTGTCTCTCTTGAATAAAACATGAAAAGTAATATACAACTGAATATACAGAATACACACTGAAGAAGGAAAAGTAATATACTAACTTGTTTTTCTTCACTTCTGCTTGTGTCAGATCTTCAGTGTTGATTGAAAGGTTTAATTGGGAACCACGAATTAGCAAGTGGGAATTGACAGATGAAGACGGAGGTAAAGTCTTGTGACTTGATGGGGATAGAAGCCCTCCATCATCAAGGCTGCAAGAAAAAGATTTTGTTATCAGTATACAATATATAAATAAAAATAATATATACATCATTAAACAAATATATAATTACTTAAAAAAAAAAAAAAAAAATGTTGAGATAAATTTGAAAGATGGGTACTAGAATTTATAGGGAACTGATAATGATAACCTGACCATAAGTTACCTTACCTTGTGTTTTCATCTGCATGCTCTTTAGGAACAAGACCGAACTGCCACGTGTTGGCTCTTTTCATGAACTTCTTGTTTATGCTGACGGGTCCTGAACTCTCACTGGACGAACAGGAACTGCTGCCACTTGTACCACTAGAACCCGATGAAGAAGTTATTACTCCAGATGTAGAAGTAGTTAATTTTTGTGATGTGGACGTAGGGAGTGCAGAGCTCTGCTGAAGGTCCTCGGCACTTTCCCGGACTTCTTTGATGCCACCCAAGCTTGTGCGGGCTTCTAGGGGCGTTTTGGCAGGCGGTGGGGGCGGCGGGGGATCCAAGAACACGGAGTCATCATCTGTGTCCAGCGACGGACATCGTGATAATGATTCTCTTGGCCGCGAGCCTACGGACGAGACTGATCTTCTGCGACCCGATGCATTGAGGGGCGAGGACGCCAGCCAAGCCAAGGGAGACATGTCTTCACCTCCTCCTAATATTTCACCGAGGTCAACAAAGCTCTGACAGTCGAATTCCATTTGCCGTTTTGCTTTCTGAAGAATTGCTTGACGATTACGTAGAAGTTCCGAAGTTTCTTGACATCGCATCTGTGCCATCTGTAAGATAAATCGATTCGAAATTAAAATAATGTAATTTATGCTACAGTATATTAGAACCAAGCTATGTTAATTTATCGACCACAAATATATTCACCAACTGACCTTGCATTGTTGCAGAAGGGTATGATTGTTGAGTCTTGTTGCAAGCGTGTTCATGGCCGTGAAGGTGTCATCAGCAATAGGCGGGTGCTCCTCCAGGTAGGCTGACAGGGCACGAGCGGCTGACCCCACTTGCTCGGGGGACGCCAGGCCTTCGCCCTTCACTCGCCCTACAACCTTCATGGCTTCCAGGGCCCATTCATAAGACTGCAAACAAAGAGAAACTGGTGAGAAAAGGTTTGGCCTGATATATAATAAAAATGACTAAAATATGTCCTATAGAACAACCATAAACGTAAATAAAATGTTTTTATGAAGAAAATTCCTGGAAAAATTACTGCAATTCAAAAAATTGTGTGTGTGTGTGTGTGTGTGTGTGTGTGTGTGTGTGTGTGTGTGTGTGTGTGTGTGTGTGTGTGTGTGTGTGTTATATATATATATATATATATATATATATATATATATATATATATATATATATATATATATAATACGTCCATAATATCCTCCCAGTATAACTTATCACACAAGTCGAAATCTAGTTTCGACTTTTCTTCTACTTCGTCCCTCCGCTTTCTTCTTCCTCAAATAAATGACATGTTAACTCAGGCCTACCAAATGGCATCTGACGTGAGTACCAAGAAAGCTAAATTAGCAAAGGGGAACAGCGGACGAGGGAACCACAACCCTTCTACCTGGGGTGTCGCCCATCTAACCCAGGCCACGGGATCACGTCTTCCGCGTTACAATGGGCATCCCACGGAGCTTCATTTGGCTTTGCGAGGGGCACGGCTGTGTGCCGGGCAAGACGTGTTGCCTTGGGGCCGATGGCCTTTGTGCCAGACAGAAGGTCCATTCTCATTTAAATTTTAAATTCCCTAATACCAATATTCGTTTTTTTTTTTATTCATCGATTAGGTGCAGAGGAATGCATCAAAAGAGGCATTTCCCCTTTATAAATTCCTCCCATAGCCCACCTTTTCTGTTGCTAGCCACTAAAGCCGACATATTAAGCGCCCTTGTTCAAAGTTGTTCAAAATCTAACAACGTATTCGAGGAGCCAAGCCAACACTCCGGGGTGTCACCGATGGCCTCTGCGTGCTTCGGCGAGAGCGTGCCCTCTACCAACAGATTATTCAGCTAGTTAGGTCATCATTAGGAGCATCTCTCAGCGTGAGGTCAGGAGGGAAACTTGTAATGGATTCATCTCGCTAGATCTATATGGAATTAAATTTCACGCAAGTCTAGCATGCTTTCTACAAACATCCGCCAGCACGAAGACACACTAACTACTTGAAATGTAAAATCTTGACGCTTTCTCTTTTATTTCTTATATCATTTCAGTGCTGGCGTACGACACTTAAAAAAAATATATATATATTGACTACACTACACAAAGACATCCAAGGTTTGTAGGTTTGCCAGTACAGTGTTCAGTCACGTTTATATTGCAGAAAAATTCTTCGGTCACCTTCAAAAGAGATATCATCTTTTTTTTTACAAAATAAAAGTAGGTAGAAGCCTTGTAGTCAATCTAAAGAAACGTTTTAAAAGATAAAACATAGTATCGTATTTGAAACAAACCCCTTTTGAAAAGGAATTATCCTACGTGCCTCACTTTGCTAACCAAACCAAATAACAAACAACAATAAGAGCAATAACAAAACTATTTAAAACATAAAAATACAATAAATATTTATAAAAAAAAATCTCTTGCCTAGTAAAAACTAAACAATCAAAATATATACAGATCAGGCACGTCACAGCGAGTGCCTGGAGCCAAATTACAGCAAGAGACATGGAGTCCAGCGTGAATAATGACTCGATCCTCTGTTGTCATGTTACACTCGAGAACAAAGATTCCTGTTCATCTGTCACTGTCTCTTCGGCAGGAACACGTCAGGCACATTCGGTCGGGCACATCCTGATATCCGCCACAAAGCATTCCTAATACCGACGTATCTTTATTACTAAAATACTTGGTAAAATATGCCTCTCTTAAGTATTAAACAAAAACAAAAAAAAAATCAGAACAACAAAACGAAAGCGGAAACGAAAATATGAAAAAAAAAACAACGCCCTAGGTTAATGTGAATTACAGTATGAGTAACGTCTTGCTTACGTCACCGACTTCACCAATCCGAATTATCGAAAAGGTATTCCTACTTCCCTTGCAACACCGGCCTTGCATTTGCGTAAACGGCGAACAAATGAGGCAACGCTGTCCGCGAGGGATTTTGCGTAATAATCTGCTACTGTCATTCGTAATTCGAGGAAAGGGCTCGTTTTAAAATCTGTTTACTTGTCTGTAAAGCAATAAAATACAAAAATATACATCTAAATAAGGAGCTTGCATATTGCAGTTAACATTATCATACGAATTAATTCTTACATGTTCCCAAACAACACACGTTGCATCTTCATCATATTATCTAACTCTGCTACTATAGAGACATACATTTATCCAAGCCTTCAACCAGTCGAAGAAAATACTAGCTGATGAAAATTGAAAAGATAAAGTCACTGACACGTACACATGCTTTAGTGATATGTTATCACCAAGTAATCCTGAGAAGAAATATTGTTGTGTATATTATAAGCTGCATTATGTCCCAACACCTTGCTTAAAATATGGAAGAGAAACTTCTTGAAAAAGTGCATATAAATCTCTCTCTCTCTCTCTCTCTCTCTCTCTCTCTCTCTCTCTCTCTCTCTCTCTCTCTATATATATATATATATATATATATATATATATATATCCCGTTACTGTTTTATCTCCACGTGAAATAATGTAAGAGCAATATCTTGTAAATGTGTTTTTTCAGAATATGAAATCTCACATGGTGAGTGCTGAATTATCATCTCGCAGACGACTTGTTTACCACTGTCCCCGCGCAGAACACACACGTATACTTAAATATATACATAAATACATTATCACGTCTTCCTCTCTTTACGTAAATATGTATGCATGTACATACATAAAAAGATACACACACACACACACACACACACACACACACACACACACACACACACACACACACACACACACACACACACACACACACACACACACAAATATATATATATATATATATATATATATATATATATATATATATATATATATATATATCATCTATATAATGGTAAAAAACAACAAACCACACTCGGTTGAATATACCCTTTTCTCTCCTCAACAAAATGTAACATTCACAAACATTAGACAAACATTACCGTCAGTGGCCATAAGACACTGTGGAAAGTCCCCCTCTATGACATGGTGTTAATACCGATGAATTAACTAAATATGCTACGTAAAAGTTTCCCACGCAGCGAAACCGGTGTTCGGCCAGAAACAAAACACGATCGCCTCCCGCAATCAGGCCTTTGATCCTGAGGCGTGTTTGCGAAAGGATTAACAACGGGAAGTTTATTGGCGCTACTGGAAAGTGTCCGGTGTCCCGCTGCCTTTGTTTACATTTATCTCGCGGGCATTCATACATCACTGTGTGTGTGCATGGTTCTTGTTCAGTCCCACCAGCACCTTGTGGTACCCAGTACTCTTGCTGTGCTCAGAATGACGGGTGACTGTATAACAACTGGTCGCAATTTGTGTCAATATAAAAGTGAAAGAAATCAGTCATTGAGATATAAGTAAAGTGGAATCGAGTGAGATACATTACAGCCGATTATAAATATTCACGGATTTAAGCCTACTTGATAATTTATTCAATTTTCCCTTGATACCTTTAGAACGAAGCTACACACGACGCACCCCTAGTGTGGTCCACTTACACTCGTGGAAGTTTCACAACAGATATCAAGCTTGTCACTTAAGCCTTATTTGAACACGCATGCTCATGCGCGTTAAAACACACACGCAAGCCTACGCAAACAAGCATTGGCAACACATTCTGTCGCTGATAGTGTCAAAAGTAATATATACATAAAATATCTATTTGAAAGGTAAAATAACCTTCAGTGTGTTGTGTATATTTTTTCTGCCATACACATGCAAGTGACACACGTGCACACCTCCACGATGCACGCACACACACACACAACCTCTCCATCCTTTGCCAGACAGTGATGACTATAATGTAGACAACTAAATACAGTAATTACAGTAAAGAGATGGTGGTAGCGTTTGGAAGCGTCCGAACCGCTCTCCCTTCGCATAATTACAGGCGACTCCCGCCTTTCTGGAGCTACATCTTCACAATGTGTCAATCTCGACACGATGCTCTCGAATATACTACGCGAGGGGTATGTAAGTATAGATAGATAAAGCTATAGGCAAATGAACAGATAGATAGACATATGTGGGTTAGAGAGAGAGAGAGAGAGAGAGAGAGAGAGAGAGAGAGAGAGAGAGAGAGAGAGAGAGAGAGAGAGAGAGAGAGAGAGAGAGAGAGAGAGAGAGAGAGAGAGAGCATTATCGAGGCCTCAGTTTGTAGAATGACAATGAGTGACACAAAAATAAGCGAGAAGGATTTTGAATCTGCGTTTACTCATTCGTAATTAAAGAGTAAAAAATACACATAATCTTATGAACAAGTAAACGAGCGTTTCGCGGAGACTTAGCCAACCGACCACGAGCACATAAACGAAAGGCGGCTGACCTAGCCATCACGATTTCCGTTAAGAGGAAAGTCAGTACATCTAATCTCGTAAGATCTTAAAATTAACACTTCGACAATGACAAAAAAAATCTCATTTAAAAGTGTACGACGCTTCAGTTCTGTGGAGTAGCAATGGTCAGTGACCCTTCGCGCAGATTTTTCTGGCCGTCATCTTACGCGGGTCTGGCGTTTGTCGTCAGCGCCACAAGGGCGAGCAGTACAAATATATCTACACGGCCAATTAAACCTGAACTCTTTCCCTCTCTCAGGGTCGCCCGGGGGTCATTGTATCCTGGGCCGTCTCAGTCTCACTCACGTCTTTGTTGTCGCTACTCGTTCCTGCTACCACCACCTCGAAACACATGAGCCTTTCCTCTTTCCTTTCATGACCCTTTTAAAAAATCATGAACTGCACCGCTCTTCTGACTAGAAGGGAGAGGGAGGGAGGAACATGAAAGGCGGAAGGCAGTGGGTCCTCCATCATCCACCGGGGCCGACGCGCCTCGATGTCCCTCCCCGCAACGTGTAATTTTAAACAATCATAAAAATAATGACTGACAACTCGACAACGGACTGCGA